GGCTTTTCTGAAACTACTGAAAGTAGACTGCGATATAATAATACTTACAGAATGTTGGTTATCTGAAAATAAACCCACACCTCAACTAGAAAATTATCACCTATATACCTCAACAGCTCCTTTGAACCAAAACGACGGAGTAGCCGTATATGTACATAAAAATATCACTCACACTGTTCAAGAGCCTATATTTAATGACGCCAGTTGCCTACTCATAAAAACTTCTGAGATGGCTATTCTCGGTATTTATCGCTCACCCTCACTGACAAACATTGACAACTTCCTTTGCTCATTAGAAATAAACCTAAAAGATCTCAATAAATATAAAACAACATGCGTCATCGGTGATATCAACATAGATATAAAACCCTCTTCAAATGATTACAAAAGCCATGACTACCTCAATCTTCTAGCCGAGAATGGTCTCCTGCCTGCACATTTTTTGCCTACACGTGAATCGAATTGTTTAGACCACATTATTATTAAAACGAACCTTAAGGCACAAACTTTTGTTATAAATACAGACATTACTGATCATTTACCAGTCTTACTTAATTTAACATTGCCTAAAAAAGAGACCATCCCAAAAGTGAGACGTATTATACATTATGAGGAAGCAGCCAAATTCCTTACGGATCAGGATCTTTCAAGTATTTTCGAGATTAAAGACCCTAACAACGCTCTTGACACATTAATTCAAACCATTACACTCGCACTGGTCAATAATACAACAGTACACAAGGTGCCTAACAGAAAGTACATAATAAAACCGTGGATCACCCCAGGCTTGCTGAGATGTATTGCTCACCGCGATGCTCTTCATAAAAAACTTAAGGCCGCGCCGACAAATGACATCCTCAAAACTACCTATTTTAGATACAGGAACTATTGTAACCAACTTCTTAGTAAAATCAAAAACAATTATGAAAGATCTGAGTCGGAAAAATGTAAAAATTCTAAGCAGACATGGAAATTTATAAGAAATGCAACTAATACTAATGAAAATAGAAAACCATCCATAGAACTACTTAATTCTAATACTAATGAGAAATCAATTACAATAAATAACATAAACCGTTACTTTGCTGAAATCGGGAAGAAAATGGCCGAAAGCATAAGCACGTCTACGGATACGTCTAATATCCTATGTGACATCCAAACCACGTCTCGAATCAAATCTTTTGTGCTTTTAGAAACCGATAATTTTGAAGTAGACTCTTTAATCCTTAAACTAAAAAACGAATCCGCTACCGGATGGGATGGTATACCTGTCAAATTTCTTAAGAAAATAAGGAATGTAATAACTCCAATTCTAACACACATTTTTAATATATGTTTGAGAGGCGGCATATTTCCTGATAGTTTGAAACGCTCACTGATACATCCAATACACAAAAGTGGGAGTAGAGACTGTGTCGAAAATTATAGACCCATCTCCGTATTGACCGGTATCTCTAAATTATTAGAAAAAATTATCAACACACGCCTTATGAAATTTTTCGTTCAGGAAAACATCATCTCTCAAGCTCAATTTGGCTTTCAACCCAACAAATCTACTGAAGACGCCGTAACTAAATTGGTGAATCACGTAGCAAGTACGTTGGATCAGGGTCGCAAATGCTTGGGTGTTTTCCTGGACCTCGCGAAGGCATTCGACACGGTCTCTACAACCATCCTCTTGAAAAAACTAGAAGCAGTTGGTGTACGCGGCACGCCTCTTAAGCTCCTCCAAGACTTCCTGACGAATAGATTCCAGTCAATTAAAATTGTATTTCTATTGTAGTACTGCTCTACCAATCACGTGCGGCGTCCCGCAGGGAAGTGTCCTTGGCCCAAGTCTCTTCCTCATTTACATCAACGAACTCTGCCAGCACAACCCAACTAACGGCTCTGTCTTCTCTTATGCCGACGACACAGCGCTCATATTCCAGGGAGAGACTTGGGCTGAGGTACAATCACATGCAGAAAAAGGACTCCACCAGACCTCCTTATGGTTAAAAAGAAACCTCTTGACATTAAATACAACTAAATCCAAATATATTACTTTCTCCATCACCAAACATAAGCCAAATCTAAATAATGTCAATATAAAATTACACACTTGCCATAATCAAAATGCATTGACATGTCCCTGTACACAACTCGAAAAAGTTAACAGCATAAGATACCTTGGAGTTCAACTTGATGAACAGTTATCTTGGGCTCCGCATATAAATCTTCTTTCTGCCAGAATGCGTAAAATGATTTGGATCTTTAAAAAACTGCGTAATATACTCAAGCCTAAATTATTAAAAACCATTTACTATGCTCTTGCTCAATCAATCCTCTCCTATTGTATACCAGTCTGGGGCGGAACTTATAAAACTAAAATAATAAAAGTTGAGCGTGCCCAACGATCAATCCTCAAGGTCATGCTCAGAAAGCCTTTTTGTTATCCAACAATCAATTTATATAAAGATGCCGATGTCATGACAGTTCGTCAAATATTTATATTAAATAGTATCCTCCGTATACATAAAGTAACTCACTATGACCCACATATTGCGTACTCAACCCGGAGAAGAAATAGAATATGTGACCCAGTTCAACATAAAACGGCATTTCTCAGACGACAAAATATCTTTCTTGCATCGTATTTGTACAATAAGTTGAACACAATATTAAATATTTTCTCCAAAACGATATATAGGTGTAAATCTGCTATCCAAAATTATCTAATTAAACTATCATATACAGACACAGAATCACTTATCACAATTGTTAAGTGACGCAAACTTCACGCTACAAGCACAAAAACTTTACTTACATACACACACACACACACCCACACGCACACCAACACGCACACACACACACACACACGCACACACACACACACACACACACACACTCAAACGCACCACAATACATCGACTAACTTAACCGCGCGGGTGTGAATCCTGGAGTCCTGAAATACAGGTATTGACCTAGTTTAGGCTCCAGTCCACCTCAAACTACAACTTTTATTTTTGCACTAATCTCTGTAATTCACTGTACATTTTATCGTTTGTGGTGGAAATAAACATATTTTTATTTTATTATTTTTTATTCAGACGATAACCCGTTCCACAGCGCACAGTAGTGGAGCGCCAACTATCCAGGTGATGAGGATGAAATTTTTGCAGTGTGGAACGATGGCGGAAAGTTGCGGCTGGTATTAGTCCGAACAATTCCTAAGAGCATTCTCCATGATATATGCGATAGAGAATGCAGAGTGAAGCCACTCTCTACGTAACGCCAAGGGATCGAGCCGATCGGCGATGTTTGGGCTATCGACGATTCGAGTTGCTCTTCGTTGGATGCGGTCCAGAGGGAGAAGTTAGTACTGAGGAGCCCCTGCATAGTGATGACAACAGTATTCCATATGCGGCCGGACTAGCGCCTTATACAGCTGAAGGCGGTGGGCGGGAGTTTAATACTGCCTCGATCTGTTTTGCACACCGAGCTTCTTCGACGTCAATTAGACCTTACCCTCTAAGTGACCCCGAAACTGGACTCCGCTTGATAAGTCTATGCCTAGGATTCACGAGTGCCAGAAGGAAGTCTCACTAGTCTCCTACTGATCCGGCTGATGTGCTCCGATTTCGCCCTAGCAATAGCTCTTTCAATGGACCTGGAAGCAAAGTTATATTGTTTCTTTTAGCGTGATGGTATTTACATCGCCTGCCGTCGCGGGACGCCGTTTTGCAGGATCTGTCGAACCAGGGCTTAGATCTACCACCGATGGAAATTAATGTAGAAGGAACGAATAGTTCCATGCCCTGAAGTACTACGATTATCCGACAAGAAGCAGACCTGCCTCTATGGGTAGGACGCAAAGAAGGAGCGCATCCCATCCCAGTCCGCTGACCTATAGTGCCTGCAACTCGCGGCTGCTGCAAACACGTGAGTGGCACTGTACTGCTGATGATCCGAGAAGCCAAGTGGGTCTTCAACGGCGATTTTGGTATAAGTAATTAAATTCACGTGATCAGCTGCGAATTTGAAAATTTCGAAATTTATTTTCAGTCAGTTATCAGATTAGTTTACATATTTATTTAGTAAACAATGTTATCATTTTTTCTTATCGTTTTATTGTTATACGTAGGTACCTACATCACCTGATATATTGCAGTTAAAATTAAACGTTAAGTGTAGTGCTATCGTAAAATGATTGCAAATTAATAATATAGAAGTACTGAAATATGTTGTTAGTGCCGAAACGTAATCTCAACAACTTCATCAAAAGGATATGGAAATATCGTATTTTCTTATAAATAATTACTAAATACGGCAGATATTTACGCGAAGACATACTTGAGCATTTCATATAACACATTCGAGAGCAGTGGCGTGTTTTACAGGTTGGTTGGATAGAGAGATATTTACTTTCTGCCTCAGTTTCTTGCTATGCATTGCGCCGTGCGGTCGTGTGCGCTATAAACCGGGTACAAATGTTTTCGGCGGCAAAAAGCTATAGCGAACAGTTAATTTGAAGTTTCTATATTTAAAAAATACTTTTTTTTATTTATAAAAACCATACAGTGTGGAATTGTAATCAATACCGCATGTGGTGTACGATTTTTTATTAAAACTATAAAGTAATAATAAAAGTATACTTTTATGTATTATGTAGGTCGAATTGTACGTATATTCAAGGTGGTATATTTTGGTATCCGGGCAGTGCGCCAGACAATGTTTGTGATAATTGTGTGACCAGCTAAATGTGGTGTGATTAGTAAATATTGCTTAAAATAATAAAAAAAAAACATAAAATATACAACAATACAGCACACTTAATTAGCTATTGTAGCAATTGTACTTTCAAAGTAGTTATTGATGTCGTGTCTTAAAAAATATTGAAATGAAATGTTATTTATAACAGTTTACATACGTAAGAGTGTCTATCAGACCTAGAAAAATGTTCAATTAAAATAACAGAGGTTTTTATACGAAACGCGCAGTTGTGTTATGACGGTGCTATGAATGTGTCAGCAGATAAAGATGATCCGGAGGTAGCTCTCCAGACGCAAAGTACTTCAAGACTCCAGCCAAGGGCTGGTCGTCCGAAGAAGTCGTTTGCTACCAAGTTATGGGACTTGTTGCAGCCCCTTGCGAGGTTATGGGGTCTTATTACGGCGATCGGTAAGTACGAATACGAACAATTCAACTATTTTTGTAAATGAATATGAATAAAAGGCATGCAGGCCACACGTTTAAGGACCTAAGATTTGACGCCTCATGGCCGCCAAAATGTTTTATTTAATTAATTAAAAAAAATTACAATATTATATCATATATTATTATGATTAGATATTATATCATTCAATTATCAATTTATCACTTTGTAAGGGTTGACGAGATATATAACAAAAATAGATATTAATTTAAAAACACTTTGCAACATTTCGTGTTATTTTGTTCGTCAGTCAAAAAAAAGACTATAGTAGTAAGTATTTTCTTGTCTATGACCATATCAAATTATGAAAAAAAAACAGAAATAATCCTGTCATCTACCAAGCAATGGCAAGTGACAAAGTTTGGATGCGTAACTTTTTTCTAAAGAACCAAAAATCTGCTTGTTTTATTTAGTCACCATACTTTTACTGACAGTAATATACTGTTAGTAAAAGTATGGTATATTGTACACCATTAAGTGTGAATAGTGTAAATGAACATCATCAGGCCATCGTAATTAAGGCTCAAACTTTTACTCTGTAAAAGGAAGCACATGAACCCAGACTCGAAGGGTTATTGCCCCTGAAAGTTCCGCTACCCACTTCCTTACTTCATTGTGAGATGAGCGCGAAGATTCCAAATTATAGTATTGTCACAAACTAATTTAAATTATACTGGCGATATGTATCACAAATAGGAAGAATTAGATTTCATGGACACCAAAACAATAAGAAAATTTAGATAAATGCATAGGTATCAAAAGTATTTTGATACTTAATAGATAAAAAAAGTGATTATTTTCGGCACGTATTAGTAAAATATTTTGTTGCTTATCCATTGGCTTTGCCGACATACCAAGTTAAATTTGGATACCACATTTTTTTTAAAGCGAAATACTACGAGTACTTCCGAGATTTGTTTACATACTTAAATAATAAATAGTTGGTTAGTGGTTAGCGAAGTTAGTAAAAACATGTTAAAAAAATATATATTTATGTGTCAGACCTTTTGCAGTTCTTATTTTTAGTAAAAAAACATGCTCTTTGTCAGTTCAATGGAGTCTTTAGCCTAACAACCACTCATAAGTCATAACATACTTTAAAATATGTGATTGCTATAACGATCCTTAATTTTTGTTGTAGTACAAAAATAATAATAACGTTACACAATTGATGAATGATGAATGATCACAAACTACTGAGAGCCCGTACCATATGTCAATTCGTGCAATAAATACTAATATTGAGTCAACTCAACTAGTTAGAGGAGCAACGCTGGGGTGAGGTATGATGAAGGAGAGCGGAGTCCCCCTCCTGCCCTCGACGTCTGCGGTCATAGAGCAACTCCGGTCCGCCGGTGGCCTGTGTTACTCCATGTCTGCGGTAGTACCGGACGGCTTCGCCCCGGTACGCCCGTTCAGGTGTGTCACGTACATCAGGTGCACCCCTTTTGTGCAACAGAACATTACTCGCAATAGTTTTATTATTTGATTAACTCACATTACTACTTTTATTTCTTTACTTTACTAACAATATAATATAAGAGAAAAGGCGTATGTATAATATAATTCTCGATGTATTTGGTGGTTTAATATACATCTTTACATAGTATAAAATAAAGTCTCTTATTTTGTGTTGTACGTTTAGATCTTTTAAACAAAGCAACGGATTTTAATGTGGTTGTCACCAATAGAGAGAGTGATTCAAGAGGAAGGCTTATATGTATTAATACATGCAAATTATAGTAGAGAAAATCCGAGAATTTCTAAGAGTTGTTTTAAAAACATGTTTTTGTGCACTTACATTGCAAACGCTGGCTAAAAGTTACGAGAAAGACCAAAATAATATACGAGTACTACGCAATTATTTATCTGAAAAAAGTCAGCAATGGTATATGTCTATCTCCTAAGGATAACCCACAGTAACCATTTTTATCTTTTAAATATATAAAAAAATGGGTTGTTTACGTAGCTAATTTGAACGATACATTATTATTCCATATTCAACTAAATACCTTAGATGTCTTGTGCATTTAGTAGAGATTAAAAATTGCTCTTTACAGCATATCATTCAAATGAATCTTTTAGAGGATATTAGAGGTTTAAAATGCGGGGTATATGCAATACGTGCAATACTACCGCAGTACCGCAGACATGGAGTAACACAGGCCACACCGACGGACCCGAGTTGCTTTAAGACCGCAGACGTCGAGGGCAGGAGGGTCTCCCACTCCTCTCACCCGCTCTCCTTCATACTTCAACCCAGGGTTGCTGCTCTAAGTAGTTGAGTTGACTCACTATTAGTATTTTGTACTCACTATTATATATGCGGTATATATATAAAGATATTAGAGGTAATTTTTTTAAATACAATTTTTAATAATAATTTATTTTTGTACTTCTCTTAGGTTGCATATTAGAAATCATACATATTAAATAGATTTTCCTTTATACTTGGCCGGCTTAATTCTCCAATAATAATTAAGTAATTGATCCTATAAAAATAATATACGTTTTGCCTAAAGCCACTAAATAAGGATAAACTTAGCCATCATCTATCTCACTCACATATCTTTAGCTCTCACTCACTCATGAAACAAAGATCGGCGTCGTTGAGCTAGTGAATTAGTGATCTAGTGAGCTATAACTGAGTTACATTCGGAGCTAGTGTGAGTGAGTGATACTTTTAATCGTCGTGAATGATTTATATCTTTTAGCTCACTCACTCAGGAGCTACACAACTTCATTCATTTCACTATCCCTTTACTTTAGTAACCAGACAGCTGATTAACATATTTATTTTATTTTATTTATCAACTTTATGCACACAAGTACAATGGCGGACTTAATGCCATAGGCATTCTCTACCAGTCTACCTTAGGGTGGTGTGGAAATTAGTGTGGAGGTGCACTACCCTTTGGTTGAGAATTATAAAGTGGACATAAAAGAAGTAATGATAGCAATACTGAGCAGAAAGCAATGAAATAGTTTATAAATACCAACGTATACATACAAGAATACACATTCATATTCATATATTTTGTGTTATATATATATACACATACATACATACCATAAATACATAAAGTATCATATTTGTGATGATTCCGCTACATTCCGGTCAAGAAGAGCCCGCACCTTCGCCCTAAACGAATTACGACTGGTCGCCATTCTGATATCCTGGGGAAGAGCATTCCATAGAAGTACAGATTGAGTGAGGAAGGAAGAATGAACACACGCAGAAGTGTGGGCAGGGCATAAGAGTAGAAGATTATTTGTAGAGCGAAGGGTTCTGTTATGATTGGAGCACAAGAACTGGAAGGAGGATGAGGATGAGGAACTCAAGTACGAGTATGTAGGCGAGTTAGGAGAGTTGAGAATAGTGTAGAGAGTCGTTAGTGCCCGCAGGTGACGACGCTGACGAATAGGGAATATGCATGTATTTTTTTTATTTTTTTAAACCATTCTACTAGTTATAACATAACCAAAAATAAATATAACACATCCGAAATATAAACCGTTAAGCAAAAAAAAAATTATTAAAATCACTATCATTTTGGGGCAATTTGAACACGTCCATTCTGGCGCGCTTTTTTTGTGACGTCAGATTACACTGTCAGACGAATTCGATGTCAACAACGGAGTGAAGTTCACAAAGTTTCTGAAAGTTAAAAAAGTGAGTGATAAAAATTAACTTATTACCATGGAAAAGCCAATAAAAACTTATTATAAATATTGTGCCGTTCCTTTGTGCCCAAACAATATCAAAACTGCACCTGACAAAGTATATTTCCTTATGCCGAAAGATCAAGGTATAAGAAGAAACTGGTGTAAAGCGATGAAAAAAGACAATGTATCGTGGTTGAGCTGTTTATACTGTTGTGAAGATCATTTTAACGTAAGTAAGGATATTAAGAAAGTAATAAAATACATATTAGAATCTTTTAAACTTAGTTAACTGCACTTGTTTACAAAAAAACATAACCTAGTTTAAAGATATTCTCAATATATAATACAAAGGTATCCATATGAATAAAAACATTTAAGAGATTAGAGTAAGAGGAAAGTTCGAAACTACTTTTATTCATCTTTCTATTTATATCTGGGTTTCAGATTGAAAAGGACACAGTAAATTATATGCAATATAAATTAATGGCTTTAGAACATGGACAAAAAGTTACACTCAAATTAAAAAAAGGAGTAGTACCATACATATTCCAGTGTCAGAAAAAAGATAACTTGTGGCCACCACCAGAGAGAAAGGGTGCTATAAAAAGGAAGCGACAAGCACTGGTTCAAGAGGCTCTAGCTGAAGCTGCCCTAACTGAAGCTTATCTACGAAAAGCAGGTCCCAGTACAGCATCAATATCTGAAGCTGATCTATTAGCAGCAGGTCCCAGTACAGCATCAATATCTGAAGCCGATATACTAGCAGCAGGTCCCAGTACAGCATCAATATCTGAAGCCGATCTATTGGCAGCAGGTCCCAGTACAGCTTCAGTACCATACCATATACCAAATATAGAACTAAAAATTTCTGACAATAAAACAGATGGGGAAGCTGTTTCTAATATCTTATCAAAGGCACATAGTACAGATATGTTGCAGTTTGACAAAGCTGTGCAAGTTAATTGTAAAGTTCCTTATAGAAGCAAAGGTGTCAATGTGAATTTATCAGTAAAGAAAAATAACATAGCATTATCTCCGTTTTCTATATCATCTAGGAATACATCAACATCACCCTTAAAATCTGCACATTCTTCTATAAAAAGAAAATTATTTACAGACAACCCCGCTGACAGTGCTTCTCTTACAAGTGTTAATTCACAGTACTCAGTAATATCAACTGATTATGAACCAGAGCGTAGTTCATCTGATTCAAGTTGGCTAATTGAAGATGAATTAGACAGTGACATACAATTTAAGAACCTAATGCGTAGTGGCACATTGATTGCCATAGAAAAGGAAC